CCCCAAAAAAACAGCCCCCCGAGCTCCCCCGGTGGAGCAAACGCGGTGTCTGGGAGGATAAATTAATCCCTCTTTAAACAGCCTGAGTCAGGCCCGGCTGACGGGGGAAGCTTGTTTTCTTTTAAAATAGGACGCGACGTGCCGGATTTGTGTAAAAAAACTGGCGAAATCCTAACGGGAATGGGGAGGGATAGGGACGAAGGAGCGTGCAACCCCTCCCTGTGCCAACTGAGTCACAGCTTTCCCCCTTTCTGCGAGACACCGGCTCGAAACGCTGCTGTTTATGTAATTCCGAAGAAAATCCAGTGTACCAGAAAAAAAACAAAATCCCGACCAACACAAAAAAAAAATCCTGCGCGGATTTGTGAGCCTTTCCCCTCCGTATTGGTTTCTTTTCTTTTTTTTTTCGCCCTCCTGCTCTTTTTTTTTGGTTTTTGTTTGTTTTTTTTGTTTTTGACCTGGAAAACATGGATATATTGTGATTGCAGCAAAAAAAAAAAAAAAAAAGAGGGGAAAAATAACCCAAACAGCTCAGCACATCACCTTTGTCAAGGTAAAATAATCCTCTTTGCACGTTCCCGGCGGCATCCGCTCGCTCCCTGTGTCCTGCTCGGAATTAAACCCAGACCCACCCCGTGACACGAGTTGGAGAACCTGAGGTGAATGAATAAATCCGCCGGGAGCGAGCACCGTGCCTTGAGGGAGCAGGAAAAATTCCGCCGTTCGCGAGGAGCGGGGATGAGTCACTGGCTCGGGCGCTGCGCCTCGGGAAACACGCCGGGAATGCTCCGGGCGCCGCGGGTGATGCCACCGCGCTCGGCCCGAGCTCCGCGCGGATTCTGCCTCACTCTAGTGGGCAGTTGTGATTCGCACGTAGGAAACTTCACGCTAAGAAGTTAATCTCCTTACTTTAGGGCCATCTCTCCCTCCGAGCCGCGGCCGCTGGGAGTGCCTCGCCGCCTCCCAGCTGAGCGTTTTCCAGGGGAGGTTTCCCCCCTGGGCTGGCAAATGCCGAGTAATGCTTTCGGTGCGTGTCCAGCCTGCTGCTGCTGCTCGGCCGTGGGGTGCTGAGGGGTGCTGAGGGCTGAAGCTGCCGTGTCACATGCTGATTTAGGACTTGGCTTTGCTGCTTTCCGTTCAGGAGTCAGCAGTTCGCTCGCAGGCATCTTCATGGCACTGTGACGTGGAGATTTCCCTCCATACATATATTTTTAGCCCCAAATAAAAGGCTTTCAGACCTCCTGATAAATGCTGGGTGTTGTTTCTGGAGTGATTGTGTTAAGAGCAGCGATTCGGGGTGTGAGCATCCCACTGCACCCAGCAGAAAGCAGCGTTGAGGTGCTCCTGATGTGGCTTCAGTTTCTCTTCCCGCTCTCCCAGCGGCCAAGATCCATCCGGTTAGGTAAAACTAGTTGTAAAAAGTGGATTTAAAAGCCTCTCCCAGTGTCAGTTAACAAATTCTATGAGTGAATGTTCACCCTCGTTCCTCCTGGGAAGAGTTTAAACCAAACGTGTGTTCCAGCTGGGACAGGATTCCTGAGGGACAGCTCGGGATATAAAGTTGTAATTTTTAGCCAAATGTCTGTAGAGGAGGTTTCAGTGTCTTTGATTTTAGTCCTGGCCTGGGGGACTGTAAACTGCTCCTTCCAAATCGAGTCGTTGGATTGTTTTTAGGTGGCATTTTGATGAATTGTGTCCCTTTGGAAAGAAACAATCGCGTTCCTGAATAAGCAGTTCTCGTTTGGAGCTTCAGTCCCCTGAAATGCCTGTTTGGAAAGCCACTTTGTAGCGCCTGCTCGGGAAGGGAAAGTTGTGCCTGTTAGCGCGAGGAGGACACGTCCATCCCGTGGAGTGCTCGAGATATGACTCATGCTAATTTGCTGCTCTCACATTAAGGCTGGAGCACAAAAATATTTTAGCCTCTGGCACTGCGAGTTCATAGTGCCACATCCTACCACTCCGGGTCAGGAATTGCAGGGCTGTTTGTTGGGAGAGAGTGAGGGGATGAGAGGATTTTGCGCCAGAGCCTGTCCCAGGTGGTCAGTGTGTCCCCAAAATGTTGGCTGCGATTAGTGCGGGGTCGAGCGCAGCCGTGGTGGGAGCCTGAGTGGTGAGGGGCGTGCAGCAGGTGCTGCTTCCCTTCTCTCTGGGAGTTAGGGAAATGTGCTGCCTGATCCTTCTCTCACAGGCTTTGGGGCCGGCGGTGCTCGGAAGCTGAGGCACGGGCTGTGGGGAGCACAGCGCTGCTCACAGTGCTCTGGGAGCAGAGATAAGCAGACTTATATAATAGCAGCTCCCTAGCCTGTAGCCCTGTGAATATACATGGGTTTATGTCCAGTGTCTCCGTCGGGTTCGTAGGAATAAGTGCATCATTACCTCGAAGTGCTGACGATTCTTCGAGGCTTAAAAATATCCATAAACTGCCTAAGTTTGAACCTTGTCCAAAGGATTTGGGCTCTCCATTATCCGATCTGCTAGCTCTGCCTGTGTAACTGTATCTCTGGAGCTATCATTAGTGCTCTTCAGTGTCTTCTGGTGCCGTTTAACAACATTGTTTAATGCTGATTTGAAGTTGGCTGTAAGACTTTTCCGGATTTTTATAAATTAGAACTGCATTTGAGGGCACAGCTTTGCTCAGCATTGTACTGTCGGCACGTGTGGTGCAGGCTCTGTCTGTCTGCAGTGTGGATGGGTCAAAGCCCCTTTTAAAAACACGGAAAATAAGCGCTTGAAAATCCACACTTGACGCGGAAGTCAGGGCAAAGTTGAACGGAGCTGCTAGAGCTTGTGCCGTGCCCTGATTGAGCAGCATCGCCTGCAGGAGAGCTGTGGATCAGGCAGGCACTCCGCAAACCACCCCCTCGGGCTGCTGTTTGAGGTGGCTGCTGTGGCCAGGCAGGTGTGGTAACATCCAGCCTACCTGTTGCATCCTGAGCCTCGGCACAGACGGCATGTAAAGAGCACGTACAGATGGACTTGTCTTCCTACAAGTTCTGTCTCTTGTTAGCATCCCGAGTCCAGGCTGTCTCCTATCAGCTGTTTTCCTGTCAGGTGGGCTCAGGGGTTAGCGAGCTCGTATTCCTCCCCACGTGGGTTAGGGTTGGTATCCACCAGTGGCTTTTATCCAGAGAACACTGGCATCACACTCCTGAGAAGGGAGGTGGAAGTGGTGCTCGTGCAGGATCCCCCCAGCAGCCAGGGAGAGGTGCTCCGAGGTGGTTGTAGAGCTGCTGTGACTGTCACAGGCAGAGCAGCCAGAGCTTGGATCCAACTAGGAACGAGTCCTAAAGTGAGCTTGACTTCTCCAAAGGCCGTGTTGAAATGGGTTCCCATGGGAAGAGCATCACCCTGAGTGCCCTTCCTAGCACTGTCTGTCCTCAGCCGGCGTAGAAGTCGGCAGGTTGGGGGTCAGGAGCCAGCACAGCATTTTGTCAGCTCTCACAGCCTCGAGTCGTGTTGTTTTGTGAGGGCAGAAGTCCTGGAAGGCTGCAGTGCTGATCCAGGGGAATGCTAGTTTCCCAAACTTCAGGCCTGGCACGCTGGGTTAATAACGAGCCTGATTTAAAACTGGTCTGGTGAGGCCCAGGCCCATCTTGAATGCAGATGCGCTTAAACTGGCTTAAGGTGCTGGAGTGATTTATTTTAATGCTCCATTAGGCTGAATTGGTCTGTGTGGTTTCTAAACCACTTTAAAACTGTATCTGCCGGGGTTTTGTCCCAGTCTGTCTGGATGAGTTTTAATAACAGTGTGCTCTGCCTCCGAACAAACAAGCGTGGTGCGGCGCGGGCTGCAGCTCAGCCGAGCGGTGCTGGCCACAGTCCCTGCTCCATCCCAGCCCTGGAGCTTCTCCCACTGACTCTGCTTCAGGATCAGTTGGTGTTGGCTGCTGAGAAACAGCTTCCAGGGCTTTTTTTCCAATACCCCCGAGCTGTGTTCTCCAGCATCTCTAGAAGTCTCCCAGAGCATATCGATTAGCTTCTCTTCCTAGCACAAAGTAGCTGCTGACGAAGAGAAAAAGGCCATGTCGCTATTCTTGTTAGTTCCAGACGCAGAGAGCACAGTGGTCAGTGGGTAAATGCATCAGGAACCTGCTAAATATAGAGATGTGGCCGTAGACAGCTCCCGACTGCAGTCGCTCCGGTGTCAGCACCGGCACACCGGGATGAACACTGTTCAAATAAGACGCCTTATCGCATCCTGCGGCTGCACTTCCACTCTCGGCGTGCACTGAGGTCGGCTGAAAGGTGGGGCACGATTTTGTAACTCCTGTCAGTGCCTTCATCTACTCCAGAGATAGTCCCGAGGTGGCACCTGATAGGATCGTTAGCCAAACGAGTTATCTGTTATGTAAAGATCAAACGCTGTGTTAGCGGGAGATCTGACAAGCACCTGGTTGTTTTCCATAAAAAGCGCTGCCCTCTGGAAACAAGAATTCCTTGGTTGTTGTGCTGTGCCCCACACTCCCCACTGGATCTGCACGGCGAGAGGGTTTGGAGGGTGAGCTGTTTATCTTGTCCAAACCCAGACTTATGTAACCTCCCCCTGTTGTTCCTTCCGTGGCTTTTGGTCTGGAACGTGCCTCCCTGTCGTTGGTAAGTGTTGTCCCCGTGCCCCGGCGAGTGCCCGTCCCTGGAACTGAAGTGTGGCTGTTTGGTTCTAGGCACACGAAGCCTCCCACCACCAACAGCAGGCAGCACAGAACAGCCTGTTGCCTCTCCTGAGCTCTGCTGTGGAACCACCCGATCAGAAGCCGATTCTGCCCTTACCAATAACGCAGAAACCTCAGCCTGCACCAGAAACATTAAAGGATGCTATTGTTGGGATTAAAAAGGAAAAACCTAAAACCTCCTTTGTGTGCACTTACTGCAGCAAAGCTTTCAGGGACAGCTACCATTTGAGGCGTCACGAGTCCTGCCACACAGGGATAAAGTTAGTGTCACGGCCAAAGAAAACTCCCACCACAATGGTGCCCCTTATCTCCACCATCGCTGGTGACAACAGCCGAAGTTCGCTGGTTTCGACTATCGCAGGCATCCTGTCCACAGTCACTACGTCTTCCTCTGCCACCAACCCCAGCAGCAGCGCCGGCGCCACGGCCATGGCCGTCACGCAGACCGTCAAGAAGCCCAGCAAGCCCGTGAAGAAGAACCACGCCTGTGAGATGTGTGGGAAGGCCTTCAGGGATGTCTACCACCTCAACAGGCACAAGCTGTCCCACTCCGACGAGAAACCCTTCGAATGTCCCATTTGCAATCAGCGCTTCAAGAGAAAGGATCGCATGACCTACCACGTGAGGTCTCACGAAGGTGGCATCACGAAACCATACACCTGTGGTGTTTGTGGAAAAGGCTTCTCCAGGTACCACGTAGCAAATCCCGGGCATGCTCAGGCGGCGGCTTGTGGTGACCGAGGAGGGTTGAGCTGTCGTAGTGAGGGGCTGGGAGAGCCAAACCTCTGGGGAGGTGGGTGAGGGGATGGCCTTGCCTGCCTCTGGAGCTTGGGGCTCCATCCGAGCCAGGTTAGCAGTCACTGTTTTAGAGGGTGGTTACAAGTGGTTTCACGGCCTCAGCGGGTCCTGCAGGACACGTGTCTGTGTTGCTGGGGGTGGGCACAGAGTCCCTCCAGCAGCCTTGGCCACGGTCCCTGGCTGGGGGGGCAGAGCTCACGGTGCTGCTGGCTGTGTCTGTGCCTGTGCTTGCGACAGAGAGCACTTCAGCCTCCAGAGCACACAAGGTGTGCCCAGACGTACCGATTTCGGGTGTGTGGGAGAACAGGGTGAAGTTGTAAGCGGCAGGTTGGGCACAGGGTGAGGTGAAAGGCACTGGGAGGTGAGGGGCAGGTGTTTGTTCTGGCTGTGCAGGGGAGTGGGGCTGAGGGAGGAATCAGCACTGCTGGCCCAGGTGTGCTTACCGTGTGTCTGTAACAGTGTGCGCTCTCTCTCCTCTGCCTCTCTGTTTTGCAGGCCTGATCATTTAAGCTGTCACGTTAAACATGTTCACTCAACAGAGAGACCCTTCAAATGCCAAGTAAGGGCTAAAATGGTTTATTAAGAACAATACCTTTTTGTCTGGGTAGAATCTCAGGTGAATAACCTTTCCAGAGCTGTATTTGCTCCCAGACTTTGCTTTGAAAAGCAAGTTTAGGGGTAAAGCCACATCCTGCGGCATGCCAGAGTGCTGGAGCTCTGGGGAGCTCCAGAGGCAGTTTAAAAAGATGCTGTGGCTACTTTTTTGGGGGAAGATTAGCAGCTTTTTGCTTTCTTGGAGAAGAGTGTAGTTGCTCTCTATTACTATGTGCTTAACTTAGTAGTAGGATCATAGCAGCGTCCTCAGCCCAGTGCTGGTCTCCGGAGCAGTGTGTGCAGTGTGTTTCTCAGCACCTCGAAATCAAATGTACATCTGTTTGAAGTGGGTGGGAATGGTTGGTTCTGGGGCCGTTGTTTTGCTGGAGGGGAAAGCCAAGTTGTCGTAAGTCGATGACCAAGTCTGAGAGAAGTAATTGGATTGCCCTTGAACAATTAACTGTTTTGCTTGGAATATCCATGCTTATTCCAACCTGTGCTTCAGTGACTCATCTTATTAAATAAAGGGCTTGGGTAAGAAGAGCAGCATTAGAAACAGGCTTTGTTTCCTTGTTCTGGATGGGAACAGAAGCAATTGAGCAATTCAAGAGATCAAGTTCATGTTTGTACAGTAAAATTATATCAAAAACCAACTTTGCCTGTTCTAGCCTTTTTTCCTAAGCAACCTCTTGCTTTGCTGGGTAAGGCAACCTGCTATTTTAAGAAAGTACACGTAGTGTGGAGCATGATTTTTATCCAGATTGTCTCAGAAACGAGTTCCAGTCTCTGTTTAGCAGTTTGGTTTTGGTCTCTCTATAAACACAGGTGAAGCTTAACGTTATCACTTTGCTTAGGATACTGTTAGCAGCTGCAGGGTACCACAGGCTCCCAGTGGGCCCGTGGCTGATGCTGTAGTGCTGTCTGCACCTCCAGTGTAACTGTTGTCCTTCGTCTAGACGTGCACTGCTGCCTTTGCCACCAAAGACAGACTGCGGACACACATGGTGCGCCATGAAGGAAAGGTATCGTGTAATATCTGTGGTAAACTTCTGAGTGCAGCATATATCACCAGCCACTTAAAGACACACGGGCAGAGCCAAAGTATCAACTGTAATACCTGTAAACAAGGCATCAATAAAAGTAGGTGAACGTTTTACAAACCTTTCTAATAACAATGTGTTTGCCCAGGGAATTAATTGCCTGTGATGAGGATGAAATGCAACAAGGTAGTCAGTCTGGGGTGGGGTCACACCGCTGGAAAGGAGCTAGGAACGGAATCGGCTCCAGCTCAGCAGAATCAGCTTCAGTTGGCACGTGTGGGGTTGGTTTGGTGCTGGGCTCATCACTTAGGAATGCAGTTTGTGAGTGACCCATCTTTCAAAGAAAGGAGATCTCAGGTTTTCTCACCTCCTAAGCACAGTGTTGCTTCCCCTTCCTGAACTGTGTGGACCTTAAAAGTCCAGCAGATAGTTCTGGAGGTTTTAGACTGTTTAAGAACTGCTAAGATCTGCCAGGTCTGAAGCCTCACTTGAAGCTCATCAAAGTCAGGAGAAAGATTTCTCTAGAGCTTTCTCTGAGCTTTGACCCTGGGGCTCAGTGTTTCCTCCATCTGGCTGTAGCTGACAAGAAAAGGATTTCAATCCAGCCCTGGTATGTTTTGGGCATTAGTGGCATCTGACTGGTGTTGTAAGGAGATCAGATGAGATGTTTGTAATAGTTTGTCCTGGTCTTAAAGTCTGTGGAAGTGCTGCAGCCTGGACCTGGGAGTGCCTAGCAAGCAAATGAAGACTTGGCTTTCAAATCTTCCCTATTAAAATACCTGAAACTTAAGTTAACCCACATGGTTAGTAATATAAAACGAGTTTTCAGGGGAATCAAGAGGGAGAAGTAAGGAATGACTTTGGAAACTCTGTCCTTAAAGCCTTTCAAACTGTATTAATTTACAACATCTTTGCAGTTCCTGTTACTCCTGGATAATTTGAAGGTACTGGGAATGTCTGAAATGCCTGATTGTTGAGCTTAGTAGGAAATTTGGATGTGAAGTATTTTTCTGGGGATAGGGTTACAGCTCTGGCTTCCCAAGCCAGTTTGGTGGTGCTAAGCCAGTTCACATGAGGCATTTAGAGCAGTTGTTAGAGGTGGAAATGATGAGCTGTGCTGGGATGGCCAGAGAGGAGTTGCAGGCTTTTCTGTGATGCAAAGGTAAACTGAAATATTTAAGTCATACTTGCAGTAAAAAGTGAAAAGGCTTTTTTTATATCGTTATTTTTTTTGAGCTGGAGCTGAGGTGGGAAAAACTGGAATCAGCTTGAGTTCCAGAGACTCACTGGAGTCTTTCATTCTTCCTAAGTGCAAACTAAACAACCAGAAAGGAAGTCCTTTTTCAGCAGTTAAAGCAGATGTTCTTGACTGACATTTTGGGGTTTAGCTCTTGGAAAAGTAGTTTTGTACAGCACAGGATTAATTACATGGTTTTAAACACCTCTGTGGTTCTTTTGCTCTTGGAATCCTGTGAGATTCCCCACGCTCTTTATGGAAGTTGCCTTTGTGATCTCAGCAGAAAATGGAGTAACTTTTCAAGGTGAATTTGTGTTCTTACTTAATTGGCATAGCATGCATGAGTGAAGAGACCAGCAACCAGAAACAGCAGCAGCAGCAGCAGCAGCAGCAGCAACAACAGCAACAACAACAGCAGCCGCAACATCGACAAAAGCAACACACCCAGAAGCAGCAGCAGCAGCAGCAGCAGCAGCAGCAACACGTAACAAGTTGGCCTGGAAAGCAGGTAGAGACCCTGAGATTGTGGGAAGAGGCCGTCAAAGCGAGGAAGAAAGGTAAAACCAAACCATATTTACGGGTTTGGGCTTGTGCTAGTGCAGCTTGCAGTTCTGGTGGGAGTTTGAGGCATCAGAGCAGGATGTCTAACGTGACAGCTTCATTCTCAGTGTTAGAAGCCACAGCTAAGAACGAGCGGGAGGAGACAGGCCCAGAATTAGGCTGTGTTAAATGAAGTCCTCATCACTTGCTCCCTCTGCTCTCTGTGCTTGCATGTGTCCATAGCAGCCATCGCTCACAAAGGGAAGCTTGTGTCTGCTCCAGGGCAGGAGTGTGGGCTTGGACCTGCCTGTGGCTTTTAGCTGTGTTTGTGCATATTTACCCTCGTTCACTCGTGTATCTGTGTGTGTATCTGCCTGTATACACACATCCCTCCTGTCCTTGCATCAGCTCCACTTTGCATGTGTTTGCTTTCTGTGCCCTGGTCATCTCTTCTCTCAGTTTATTCCCTGTGCTTTATCGTCACATAACTGTCTTTGCGGGAAGTTTTCTAGACCTCAGAGAACTTACTTGTCTCTCTCTCTGCTGCTTTGTTCTCATGACAAAACGAACTAATGAATGCTCCTGTTTTCCATCCGTGCTGGCTCACAGCTCAGCTCTACCTGTACTGCTGTAGTCGAGGTGGAGCTGCTTCCTGTTGTTGGTCAATGTGTCAGTTGGGAGAGGACAGATTGCTCCAGTGCAGTGTTTGTAGGATGTGGCCGTTTCAGCTCTCCCATCACTGCTGCTTATTTGTTTCACCACAGTTTGATTTCTAATGCCCATCACGTGACGCTCGTGGATTACATGTCTAGAAGCTCTTAGCGACCACTCGCTGTTTGTCACTGGCTGTTTTTAGCAGTGTATTTGACTCATCTTATTTTTATTTTTTCTTTTCTCTTAACCTTCTTTTCAGTTTTTTCAATCTGTTTTTCTTCTCTAGGTCTTGTTTGTGTTTTAGGCTGTTTGCTCCTTTCGCCTTGTTGTGCCAGTTCATTGAATTATGTGACCAGACAGTATAGAAACAGCTGATGCATGTTCAAATGTAGTGATAACAGAAGCATTAGGTATCACCAGGCCACTGAGCAGATAAAGCAAATGGGTGTTGAACGTAGAAAATCTCTGAGAATTTTTTTTCTGCTTGTTCCTTCCTGTGTCTTGTTCCCTCTTCCCTTCTTTTCTCCCCGAGGTTCTTGAATGTGCTCTGACAGGAGAGGTTTTGGGCAGGGTGGGGGGAGAGGTGGGTGGGTGGGCAGGAGTGTTGTCACACTGGTGCTCGCAGCTTGTTTACCTGGGGAAGGGGCATGGGTGGGCTGTGTCTTT